TATTTCATATAAAAACCCATGTATGTCTTGTTTCATTAAAACATGGTATCTATGTTGATTTTCTCTGTTAGTTAAGAAAACTCATCAAATGAATACATTTTGCTAATCGAGTAACAACATTGTGAAACTCTTCAATGGACAGCAGATGGCATGTTTGCACATAAGTAATGGACTATTGTTGACTCAGGATATTTTTGCAATAATGGGTGTGATACTTTTTTCCCTCAGATATTATGACATGAACACTTCATAGAAGAAACCCAGATGGGAAAATGTTCACCAGCATAACCTAAACTGTATTAGGTTTAAGTAAACAATTTTATACACTGTTGTGAGCCGTCGAGTTGGTTCTGACTCATAGTGACTCCATAGGACAAAATAGAACTGACCCATAGGGTTTCCAAGGGGCAGCTGGTGGATTCGAACTGCAGACCTTTTGGTTAGCAGCTGAGTTCTTAACCACATATATTAGTAGACTAAAATCCAGTTTTCTGTTTTTTAATAACCACATTTACAAATACATATGTATAAATTCTTTAAAGTTGATGCTTTCTGTCTTTTCCAGCTGCATGGTCTAGTTTATGCAATACACTAAACAATTTTAAAATAACCCACTTACCAATTCAAATCTGAATAATGCAATTAAATGTACAGCTCTAAAATTCTTAACCTTCAGCAAGAGTTGAAGAATTTTTTACAAAAATAACAAATCTTTTGTTAACATTGATAAGCCTTCAAAAGAGAATGAATTATAAAATATAGTTATAAAATACATATGTAGTACTAGTACGTGTGAAGCACTGTGCAAAGTAAAGAATACACAAATATTAATAACAAGCCATTGCTGATGTTTCCAAGGGGCTCCAACTGAGTGGAGACGAGTTCACATTAGAAATAAAGCAACATAAAATAATACAGAACAAATCTAATGTAGTCATAGGCAGACTGTTGTAATGGGTGAAAAGGAAGCATATGGAAACACAGCAGCAGGCTAAGGAAGTGATGACTTCTAGATAGGGAGGTTGAGGATGGGCTCACAAAATTAGGTGACATTTAAAGATTTTTAGGTGTGGTAGACAAGCCTGGTGTCCACAGGGTCTATTTTAAACGTGAAAGCATGTTCAAACACAAAAATAACATGGTGGGTGTTCAGGAGTATCTGGGAGAGATGAGAGTCCAAAGTTAGTTTGGAGTTATAATGCATATTAGATTGATAGTGTTTTTTTTTTTTTCTAGTTATTTTTTAAGGATAAATATGCATATTAATCATCTATAATCCCACACTTTTTAAAAAATTACATAAAGTAAAAATGAAAGCCTCTTTTCTTTGCACTGTATTTTCTGTCTTGCTTGGATATGCTTTAGGCAAAGATGTGTTATTCATAATAGTGTAAACGTTGCTCCAAATTACTGCAAATATTCCTTTCGTTTATCTTGAAGCTGATTGTAAATTTCAGCTTCCCTGAATAACCCATACAACTGAGATATTTGTAAATAAAAGAGATAAAAGAAAAACATAGGCTGTCTAGAATAAAACCTTTAATCTGAATTTTACATTAGTGGATTGTAATTTGGTCAAAGTGATATGGAAAGCTCTTTTGGGATTATACAGATTAAGAATGGTACCTCTGTAGGAGAAAAATGAAATACAATGGCGAGACAGCTTCTATACTAAAACATAGAGGAAATGCAGAACAAAGTGATTTTATTCAGGACATTGGCAAACAGTGACTAATCAAAATATTAAATAAGAGTAAATAATTTTACTATATTAAGAAACCCAAAGAAAAAGAGTATTTTCCCATTTTATTTATCAAATCCCAGATATTTACACAACTTCCGCCCTTGCTTCATTAAGGACCCTATTCAAATAGTATCTCTTGAAGAAACTTTCCTGGACCATTCTTCTGGATGCACATGTGTACCATACTTAATCACTCTCACTGTCTCCATAGAGACTACTGGACATAGTGACCACCAGTAGACACAAAGTTTGTGCCATAGAGGGAGATGATTGCCCTCTGAGAGACCTGAAACTATCTTAGTGGCATCAAGGGGTAAGCATTATTCTCTGACACAAGTAAGTCGAGAATAGCTGATCAAAAGATGGTTACCCACCCTGAACAGGGGCAATGAGTAATGTCAGTTGCCTACAGGGGGCCTTCTCCTTTTATTACTCCTTTCCCCTTTGATTATCTCTTTCCCCTACTCTCTTTCTATACATGCTGTTTGGTACGTAGCTTGCTAGTATTTTAACCCCGGTACATAAGGGCTTTTGGATTGCTTACCCTTTGTGCAAAGTAGGCACATTGGATGCAGTCGTAACATTCCCACCTGGGGATGGGAGCCTAACTTCGGGGAACTTTGGCTAATGGTGATGTTTGCTGTTCTTCTCATCTCTGTCTGTTTATTCAGTGAGTAATAAATACCTGTTGATCATGCCATTAGAACAGTGTGTGGTCTATACTGTGCTGCAAACGGTCCTTCACACTAAGAACTTGTGAACTTGGTACATTGTACATCCTATTTAAAATACAATGTAGGTTTAGAAAGGAATGGAGTTCTAAACAGTAGAGGGAAAAAAACAATTTAGGGAAAAAGTAAAATCAGCTGTATATGTATATGTATGTGTGTATATATATATGAAATAATTTTATTGGCACCATAAATGAATAATTATAGTTATTAATAAATTCTGATATTTTAACATTTTCTATAGCATTAGATAGATATAGCAATCATTGCTGGAGATCAGTATCTGTGCCAAAAAAATAAGAAGAGCAAACTTTTGTGGGAATAGGGCAGTATAATATAACTTAAAATAATTAGGACTCTTTTTGGTTAGATCATTCAAATTAGTTCTCCCAAACTTGCTTCTAATTTAAATGAATCAATATGATTCATATTTATTTTGAAGTTAATTCATATTTTGAAGAGATATCTCAAATTGATCATTTAAAATTACCTTTGTAATGTATAGTATATGGTAAAGGAATTTAGTTAAATCCTTCATGACAGTATTCGTACATATTAGCAAATTACATTATAGCATCATTCTAGTAAGTAAGAATGACTAAGTATATTTTATAGAGGAAGAGACTGAAATGCAAAAATAAAGCAAAATAAAACAAAAGAAATCTAGTGCAGTCATAGGCAGACTGTTGTAATGAGTGAAAAGGAAGCATATGCCAACGTATCAGCAGACTGAAGTAGTGATGACTTCTAGATAGGGAGGTTGAGGATGGGCTCACAATGAAAATTAGGTTGTGTTGAGATTAGTGGCTTACTGGAGACCACTGAGATTGTTGTGGATAGAGGTTGGGATAAAATTATTTTGTCATAGTTCTGTAAACAAGTTATATGACATTTCTTGCAAAAAGGTATAAGTAATTTCTGTCAATAAAATCAATGTTGCCATCGTTGTTTTCACTATTAAAGTTCTAGGGAAAGTTCAAATATGTCCATGAATATAATTATAAGAAAGGGAGAATTTGATAAAATATTTTATTAATAATAATAATAATATAATCAAGGTTACAAAAATAACAACTTTATTAACTACAGAAACTTTATAATACAAGTCATAACCACAGTGTTCCCTTTTTTGGGTAAGCATTCAGCTATACCACTCAATAGGCAGCTTATCAATTTCCTATTTACATACAAGACAAAGAGTCATAACATCCACAGTATTCCATTTTTAGTTTCCTAAGGACAGAAACTTTCTATACAAATGGAAATAAAACTATTAAAAAGTTACACTGTCAAGATTCCTACTGTCCAAAGATATTTAACTATTAATGTTAGTTATTGTTGTTGGTTTTTGTTTTATTTTGTATTAGTAACTTCCTAGTTCTAAACTCAGATAAGTGTTGAAAGATAAATTCTTTTTGGACTTTATCATGAAGAGTAATTTATTCACACAAACACTGTTACAATTTATTGAAAGCAGTTATTTTTTGAACCTCTGTAAATCAATTTAAGGTTTTTCAGTATAAAAGCTCACTAAAAGTATTCCTTACCTCATGATTACAATATTACAATAACAGTGTTTCATTTTTAAAAGATTGTTTAGAAACTACAAGAAAATGGCTGATAGCAATTTCCCACTTCTTGACAGTGTTCTTTTGAAGAGAATGCTGTGGCTATAACATTCACTTTGTACAGTACCATTGGTACCAACAAGAAATATTCACAGGAATAAGTGAAATTCAATTTTGCTATCCCATGCCATTATTGTTATTTTTTTCTTGCCTTCCAGTGTCTCACATTTCCCATAATTTGAAACACTTAGATAGCAAGTAAAAGCCTGTTAATACTAGAGATTGACTCAATATAAACCATTTTACTGAGGACCTGCCCACAGCAAATAGGCAAAAGTCATCACATATTTTACAATAAAACTAAAGTATACAAAAGGATTATCATCCCTTCTGCACGGCAGAGGCATCCTGACAAATATTTTAATTTTACATTTCTATTCCCAGTACACATAAGAAAATGTCTATAATTAAAACATCATATAACCATTACAGAAGCAATAAAACAAAAATAGCATTGAAAACTGCTTAACGGTCATTTTGTTCATGAATTGAAATGAAATGGATTTTGGGATAAATTGGGCTTTTTCATTTTTCGCAGTTTATTAAGAGAAAGTAAATAGTATATACCCAGTAAATAGTATCTTTCACCAGCAAGTGATGGCATAATTATACCCTGTCTTACCATGTAAAATAACATGGATCTTGTTCATCTTTCATTGTCCATTCCACCAATCTCCCTCTATCACAAAGGAAACCTCCCCTGGATAGAAGAACTGCTTTGTACACTACACTTGAAGATTTACTGGTGCTCTTTTTATCCTCTAATTAATTTGCAAATACTAAGTTCAAAATGCCTAAGAGTTAACTTCATCTAATATCTGGGTAGTCCCCATCTCTCTTTGCATGGAAGTTTAGAGGGAAAGATATGAAGGAAGTATTTAGAAAGGGAGTATTTGAAAGTATTGAAATTTGTCTAAATGTTTTACAAATATCATTAATATGTGTATTAATAAAATGAGGCCACATCCACTGGGGGGGGAAAAAAAAAAAGAAACTGTGAGAATTAATAAAATGTGGCCAGGCAGGTCAGAGGTTAAAAAAGAAAAACTATGTAAAAAATTCTTTAGACAATATGCCTTTGAAATTTCTATGGATTTTGATTAAAATTATGTGTTGTATCAGGGAAGGAAGAATACAATCAGATCAGATGGTATGGACTGGTAACTTGTTGGAGCTCTCTCTGCGTCCACTGTAAGTTTCTTGATATCAGCACATACCATTTACAAAGAAATATGGCACAGTCTGGATAGGCGTTTCTGAATTTTGATACTCTGTAGATTAAGCTGTCTAGTAAATTTAAAACCATTTTATTCAAGACTGAACAGAATTAGATCATTGTTTAGACTCCTGGCTTTAATAGCGATCATTCAAAGGAATCAAGTCAGAGAAATTGGAATACTGTTTTCAGATGATTCAAATTGGTATTTTTAAGATCTTTTCTACTGGAAGATTTTGTGAAAATTCAGAAAGTCTACCCTCTTACTCTTTGTTATCCCATTTCTGGAAAAATGTATGATTTGACCAGTTGTGCAGATACAGTAATTAATATGATAACTTGACTATTATGATACCAGAATAAGAAAATCGAATGAATATTTTCATGGCATTAGGAAAGATCTATGTAAAATGAAGTAAGGGAAAATGAAGATATTTTGATAAAATATCACATTCAGCAAATTCAATTCTACTTTTAAAAAAATAATTGAATACAAATTTTAGACAAGCTAATTCCTTTCTTTTTTTCCTTTTACATGAGTAAAGCTTTATTAGGCTAAAAGATTTGCAAGTTGAGAAAAGTACTTTTTTTCTTCAATATATACTTCAATGCATGAATTGATGATGGGCTTTACAAAACTTAGGAGCTATATAGAACTTTTGCCCTTAAATAATTTTCAAAACTATAAAGAGGGTGAGCTAAAAGCCAGTCACATCAGCAAGTCTTAAAATGAATTACATTTAATGACGAAAACACTTTTAAACTTCTTTATCTTGACACTATCTAAGAAATGATTTAGAAAAGTAGATCTGAAAGCATCTTGCATAAATAATTGGATTAAGTTTGGAGGAAGGAAATAATACAAATATACATATTACCCTTCTTCCCTATAAGAATTAGAAGCTACATAAAATAACTAGGATAAAAAATATATGTAATAACCTAGACTAGGCATTGTTTAACTCTGTGGATCGTGATCACACCTTAAGCGCCAATCAGTGAGAATCAGCTGCAGATTATGTATGAAGAATGAACTAGGCTCTTCCATTTTGCGCCTTTTCTTAATATTTCTATTGTCCTTTAGAAATTTCTGTTTTTTCATAAGGAAAAACTATAGGTACACACTTCTAAAATGTTTAGGGGTTACATTAGATACAACACAATTTGAACTCTATGCACATGTGTACCTAGGCATGGGTGTATGGGTATGTTTGTTGAAGTATGTTTGTGTAGTAGTATAGTAGGATACAGGGTGAGGAGAAATGCATGAAATATAATCTGTGGCATATGAAAGGGAATATAATTTAAATAGAGTTACAATTCAAGGACATAAAGTAATAAATGGTTGTGGTGAGGTTAAAATAACATTTAACTTATGGTTTATGCATTAAGAATCTAACCTTGGAAAGCAGCGTAGATCTTTTCCATTAAATCTTTTATCATCAAGCGATTATACCTTTGTATTTTGTAATCCATTCAAGTATCTTCAGGAGATATGTTACTACACTTGCATGTACCTTAATTCACTTCAACATTTACAAAATAACACTGACAAACAAAACAACAGAAACACCCACAAATGTTAATGAGTATCTTAACAAACTTGACACTCAAGTAGTTGTCTTCAGGTTGTTATAAGTGACATTTTAATTCCACATTCTCTGAAATCTTCATGTAAAAAAGAACTCTATTGATGGAAGTTTCAGACACACTTCAGCTATGTCTGTGGTACTTTATACGTTAATATAATTTTGTGTATCCATTTTGCATAATATGCTACTCGGACAAAAATACCAGGACGATTTGGAATGGCACATCCACGACCAGGAACAATGACACCAAGAACCATTCTCATTTTATGTTGTTCACACACAAGTGGGCCACCATAATCCCCCTAGGAAGAAAACATGAAACAACAAGAACAACAAAGTATTATATTGGCAATTTAAAAAAAAAGAAGTCCTTAAAGTTATTCTATATTATGTTGTATCTCAAAGGTACATATGAACAACAAAGAAAATAGCTACAACTGAAGTATAAAGACTATGCATCATGCGTTGTCCTTCTGTTGAATTAGCCAGGTAAGACTGAGAAAAATCCAAAAGTCCAAAGTGCTCTGTTATGTGTAGTTTTCAGATAAGAATGACTTTGTCTTTTCTAAAATATTCACTCACTTTTCAAAGTATACTTTGGCTTTGTTGAATGCATGCTAATATACACAACCATTATATTTGATAGATATTTATTTAATAAGGTAGATTTTTATACTTATTTTTACTTTCTTCTGATGTTCAAGATATGTTCAATATAGAAAATTTGGAAAATGTAGAAAACATAAGTAAAAAAGAAACCCACTTGTAATCATATACTTTTAATGATTATACTGCATTGCATTTTCTCTTATTTCTAAAGCTCTTTTTTTCTTGCCCCAACTCCAACTCCAGAATGATCTTTAAAAGTTAAATTAAAACTTGCAGTTGATAGAATAATTTCATTTGCTCTTTTAAAACTGATTTTCCTAGCATAGAGAAGAGATTTTCCTCCACTTGTTGGAATTAGCAGTTAATATATGTATAGAACCTCCTCTTGAAAGGTGCTTCATTTCCACAGAGTAGCTGATTTTTATATCATCTCTTGTGTGGTAACCTTACTGTATTGTTAGATATAGATGTGAGAGAGAGAGATACGTGTGTGTGTGTGTGTAAGATTTTCACTAAATGTGATTGGATTATACTACTACTATATTGTGATGCGATTATATAAACATTTAGGGAATTTCTTTTTCAAATTTCCTTCAGTAGCTAAATTATATATTTTTAAATGTCAGTTCAAACAGAATAAGGAGATACTGCAGGGTTTAAAATCAGGAAAGGTTTGTGTCAGGGTTGTATCCTTTCACCGTACGTATTCAGGGTGTGTGCTGAGCAAATTATCAGAGAAGCTGGACTATATGAAGAAGAATGTGGCATCAGAATTGGAGGAGGACTCATTAACAACTTGGAATATGCAGATGACACAACCTTGCTTGCTGAAAGTGAAGAGGACTTGAAGCACTTACTGATGAAGATAAAGGACTACAGCCTTCAGTATGGATTACACCTCAACATAAAGAAAAAAATCCTCACAACTGGACCAATAAGCTACATCATGATAAACGGAGAAAAGATTGAAGTTGTCAAGGATTTCATTTTACTTGGATCCACAATCAGCACCCATGAAAGCAACAGTCAGGAAATCTAACGATGCATTGCATTGGGCAAATCTGCCGCAAAAGACCTCTTTAATGTGCTAAAAAAACAGCAAAGTGTCACCTTGAAGACTAAAATACACCTGACCCAAGCCATGGTATTTTCAGTAGCCTCATATGCATGTGAAACCTGGACAATGAATAAGGACGACCAAAGAAGAATTGATGCATTTGAATTATGGTGTCGGCAGAGAATATGGAATATACGATGGAATGCCAGAAGAATGAACAAATACCTCTTGAAAGAAGTACAGCCAGAATGCTTCTTAGAAGCAAGGATGGCGAGACTTCATCTCATATACTTTGGATATGTTATCAGGAGGGACCAGTCCTTGGAGAAGGACATCATGCTTGGTAAAGTAGAGGGTCAGCGAAAAAGAGGAAGACACCCAATTAGATGGATTGACACAGTGGCTGCAACAATGGGCTCAAACATAGCAATGATTGTGAGGATGGTGTAGGACCAGACAGTGTTTCGTTCTGTTGTACATAGGATAACTGTGATTCAGAACTGACTTGATGGCCTAACAACAACAAATGTCAGTGATGTAGAAAGTAAAACATTCTGGAGGATAAGCGTATTTTTGAGAAGCAGCAGAATCAATTTGAAGTCAAGACTTGTTAATAAAAATAAGAAATGACAAATATGGCATAAGGGGAAAATAATGCTAAAGTAAGAAAACTATGTTAAGAATGTATAGATGATAAACCTGATTAAAGGCAATTCCTGAAGAGCAGTTTTAAAGGTGTTTTTAGTACTGGCAAGAAGATTGGAATAAGTACACAACTTCCTAGATGACATCTAAGACTGAGACCAGCTTGAATCTCTTGGTGGGCAAGGAGGGGGGAGGGCGTTATATTTATTTCTTAGTAATACTGACTTCCTGGAAGGACACTAAATTCAAAAGTAGTTATAATCACATAATCTGTTTCCAACCATATCATTTGGAACAGTTTTCAAAATTCTTTAACTTAGTAAACATTTCTTTTTTTTTTTTCTTTTCAGGAAGGAGACCTCAGAGCAATGCATCTAATACATACATTTCCATAGATATTTTTGCTCTATGCTTAGGACATTTTCATACATGTCCTTCCATGTTAAAGGAAGTTAATTTCTATTAACTCATTCTATGCCTTGTTACACATAGTATTCCCCACTTCCACAACTCTAAAGTTTGGAGAGCGTGTCTCTCACATTCAAATTACAAAATCTAAAATAACAGTTTAACATCTTGTGTATGTAAAATAGGGATAGGAACACTTCCAAGTTAAAAGAACAGTTGCTTAACAAATGGGAATATGCATGCCCTTAAAGTCAAAAACTTTGACCCTCTGGGTTTTGTTTAAACAAAATTTGTTTAGCACACACACGCACACACACACACACACATACACACACACACACACACACACAAAACAGACTAACCAAAGGCACATTTAAAAATTTAATACTAGGCATGCATCTCTTAATAATTAATGGGGTTCAGTAAGGAAAACTTGGGGAAGATCAGATAAATTTTGAAAAACAGTAGAAAAATGCAAGCTATTTTATCAAACTGCATATTGGATACTTATGATTTGAATAGCTTTCCTTTAGAGTTCTAGCTGTATTTGTTTATTGTTCTTTTGAGAGAAAAATGCTATCATAGTTTGCTACTAATGAAGCCTGGGTTGTCTTACAGTTTAGTTAAAAGAAATTTTGCAGGGACTACATAGGGTTAATTCCCCAGTTCTCTCCTAGAATAGATTAGAATGTAATGATTTTGATTTGAGAAAAATACACAGAGAAAAAAGTAAGCGTGAGAAACTATGCTATCAATACCATACATTCTGATTAAAGGGCTGCCTTTTTACCTCACATGGACCTGATCGAATCTTTTCAGCTCCAGCACATATTTCAGACTCGTTCAGAGTCACTTTCCCTTGATGATACTGGCTGCATTTCTCATTCCCCATAATATAGAGATGAGCTACTCTTAATATACCATCAGAGTTGATCACTAGAAAGGAGCAAAAAAAAATATACAGTTAATGAGCACGAGGTAATGGTGAAAAAAAATAAACCCACGTGATATTTTTATAAAATAAATATGACATTGCTACATGACACTGCCTTTCTTTTTTCACAAAACACTTACATCCAGTGTAGCCCCAACCATAAACACTGCAAGTGGTCTTTTCAGGAATTGTGCATCCATAATTAGGTAAGTCAATTGTACTAACAAAGTCATCCAGGACTGCAGGCCTGAAAAGTGAAAACATAATGATAAATACTCTTGAATAGATCCAACAAAATTTATATAATAAATTATATTATTTAGATAGACTAAACAGTCTTGTTATCTTAAAAAAAGAGGGGGAGACTGTCTAATATGTAGTGTAGAAATTAAGAGTAGATAGTAGAGAGACGAGTCATTTATCTGCTGTTATTTAAGAATTAAAAAGTCACTGTTATGTATTTTAAAAAGCACATCATTTTACATATTAAAGTTATCAAATAACAGCTCATTCGGCTTTCAGTTTTAAAGCAGGAAAATTAGATTGTTGGCCAACTTCATTTCTAAAAAAACGCCTCTCTCTCTGTCTAAATATATACGTATATATGATGTATGTTCTTTTATAATAAATCTTATAATAAATCATTAGAGAGAAAGGATAGCGATACAGCTGAAGAAAATACTTCAACAATTCTAGTGTAGGTTAAAAATACAAAATCTTCTAAAGGAACTAACAAACTAACCGAGCGAGCTTCAGTAAAACCAGATCTGATCCTTCAGGCCCATATACCAGCTGGGAAACATTGAGGACCTGCTTGCGTTTCTCATCTCCTCTTCCATGGACATCATGAATTCCAAGCCAAGCTTCATAATCTTTCAAGTCTTTGTTTCTAAATTAAAAAAATAAATAAAGAAATAAAATGTAAAACATGATTTTAAATTTTACAAGGGCAGTAAAATAACCTAAATTAAAAATTGTATTCCAAATATAATGAATTAAGGGAGATTCTGAATGCTACAAGCATATATAACCAGAAAGAGCTTTAAATTTCTGAAATTCTAAATGGGTAGTTACAAAACTTACGATTATATTTGCTACAGAGTAACTCACTTGTGAAACATTCTCAAGTAAAGTGCATTACATGAATTATAATTTACTATAAATTTTGCTTTATTTATCTGAACTTTGTATATTTTTGGTTTGTTAATGGGGGGTTGAAGGTTTATACATCAACCAACCTTGAGGAGAATTAGGAAATAAGCTTATTTATGCTGCCTCCTTATCTATTCCTTAGGCAAATTTTCATTAAAAATTATTCCCAGGATGATTCTGAGACTATTTTTACATAAAAAAGGATAAGTGAAGATTGAGAAAATTTTATTAATAATTCAGCAAAAGTATTTCTATCTAGATACATACAGTGCAAACAGGAGGTTGAGGTCTAAGTTACCTGCATAATTTTAGCAACGTTTTCCTCCAAGTTAGAGTAAACCCTTCAGGTTATGCTAATTGTGAAAAGAGGTGAATGGAATTAGTACCTATAAGTAGGTATCAAGGAAGTCTAAGTTTTGTAACAAATCCGAAAAGTAAATCAATTTGCTCACTCCACACTGTACATCTCCATAAAATGAATACACACTTTTAGGCTTAAAAGAAAGTGGAAAACATACATATTTAAAAATTCTAAAAACAAATATTTGTTTTGAAAACACTTACCGAGAAGGAAAACATTGTCTTGCGGTAAGAACCCAACTTTCTTTTATCAATGATCCTCCGCAGATATGTTTATTTCTATGAGAAAGAGGAGAGAGAAACAAGTAACATCTGTGCAGAAAGAGCATATGCCAATTAATGCAAATCCTATGGCTCTGTTTGTTAAAAATAAACCCACTAGAGGGAAAAATGTAGAAACTGACTCATCCAGATAAATGAGTATTCTTTTTATCTGAAGAGAGATATTTGTTGTTGGTAGCCTCAGCACTTTTGTTTTTCATAATGTGATCATATTTTGATGAAAACTATTTCTTTTTTTGTGTAACTTAAAGAACTCAGTCACTACACACCAACGGCAATTCCCTACATACACATTCAAAGATGTATATCTCTGCCTTTGTAAGAGTATGTGCTACAAATATTGGAGAATTGTTGTTGCTAGGTGCCATCCAGTCGGTTCTCACTCATAGCGACCGTATGTACAACAGAACAAAACACTGCCTGGTCCTGTGCCATCCTCACAATTAGAATGCAAAAAAAAAAAAAATCCATATGGACCTATTTTAAATTAAGTAATTGTGAAAAATGTACGTTGGCATTTTATTTAGACTCTGAAAATCATCTGGTGGTACCAATATATATTTGTATGCTAATTTCTTCTTTTACTACCATTATTTAGTTCTGATATGTTAACTTAGATATAACTGAATTTGAATGAATTTTTTCAGTTTAAGGCCAGCAATATAATATTTCACTTATAAAATTAAAACAATTTGTAGGACAAATCATCTACGAAATTATAAAACATTTGTAGAGAATAGCAAATACCAGTACATGTATTCACTGATATCCAAATTCTGTAAATCCATTATTTTTTGGCAGAGACATGAAAAAAAGTACAACTTTTCACAATTTACATTTCCAAAGAGTACAGATGTTCAGTGCTTCAGAGAGTAATACAAAAAGATTCCCAGACTAAGACCACAGTTATTTATGGTCTTTACCACACAGGAGGATAAGAGTACAATATCAAGTTTTAATTTCTATCTCTCTCAGTATGTGTTTTGGAAGAATAACTAAACAGCTGTTTTTACTAAGAACTTGGATTAAAAGGAAAAAAAAAACTTTTTAAAAAGCTTATAGTACTATAATCTGATGCAGAAGAGTTTTACCTGCTTCTCCATGAATTTTAAATAAAGATTACCAAAGGAGCATCCTTGTATGTTCTCCAGCTGGTAAAAATAACTCAAAAGTATATGGCTCTTTCTTCCCCCCCGGGGTTATGAGATTAGCAAAGTATCACTACTTAACTCAAAGATGTGAATTCTTTGAGCATTTTCTGCAATAAAGAAAATTAAACACTCTAAATCTTTTATTTAATCTTCATGGCCCTTATTACCTCTTCATACTGCACAATCAGCTTTAATATTTTGGCTAGTTTCACAATTTTATTTCAGAACTACCCACCTAGGACAGCTAGTACACTAGAATTACCTGGTATAAATATTTATGAGATTTGACAAATTTCTCCTTGAGAGGGACATACTAAAAGAGAGCTTTAGGCCATCTCTCACAGTACGGTAATTTCAAGTTTACTGATATGTATGTATATAAAAGGATGCAAACTCCATGCTTGCCACTAAATGGCTTATTCATAAAAGAACTTAGTTTCAAATTATCTCTATCCTACTTTAATGTCACTGTTTAAAATAGATAATTTGTTCCTTTACTATTGGAAGCTAGGAGTGAAGGGATGGGGAGTTGCCACAAAGGAGAGACATTCAAGTTGGGATTTGAGGAATGAAAAGGAATTTCCAGACATAAAATGTGGACAAAGAAAGCCACAAAAAGCAGTGGAAAAAACAGTGTCCAGGCTTGGAGGCTTAGGGTGTGGGGAGAACATGGGGTGTTTAGAAGACAGGGGAAAATGTGGCTAGAATATAAGTACTTTGCTTTTACAACCATAGTGAAAAAACCTGCTATCTGACTGTTTTGCACATTAACGATGTATGTCTGGCAGTAGCAAACGCTGAGGTACAAGGCGAGAGTAACACTGGCTGTGATGGTTAAGGTTATGTGTCAACTTGACTGGACCAGTATTCTCAGCAGTTTGGCAGTTATTTAATGATGTAATTTGGAAGTTATATAATGATGTAGTCATCCTCCATTTTGTGATCTGATGTGGTCATGCTCCATTTTCACATAATGCTGATGGTTGCATAACGACCTGGTCTTTGGTACTTAACCATGTTCATAAGTGAGGAGTTGGTGTACATAATTCTTACCACATAATTACTAAGCTTAATACAATTTGCACAGTGCTTTTATATAGAACGTCATTGATTCTTATGAGCATTGAGAAGTAAAGATGTCAAGAATTTTTTTTAATCCACCTGACTACTATAATATCAAGAATATTCAACTATCAATATAGTTTGCTAATTCTTAATAACAGACTCTAGAATTTAGAATTTTTGCTATTTGTCATTAAAATTACTAGAAAGTCAAAAATTAAACACAAATATGGAACTTCTGATATTCATAGGCATGTTGGAAAATAAAATCATAATATCCTAGATTGGGAAATTATTAACATATTTAATGTAACTAATATGGAGCCCTGGTGGTGTAGTGGTTAAGAGCTTAGCTCCTAACCGGAAGGTCAGCAGTTCAAATCCACCAGCTGCTGCTTGAAAACCCTATTGGGGCAGTTCTACTCTGTCCTATAGGGTTGCTATGAGTCAGAGTTAACTAGACAGTAACAGGTTTGGCTTTTTGGTTTTACTATGGTGATATCAATGGTAGAGTATAAGTCGGTCCTCTGTGTAGTTTGCTTAATCAGAACTGAAGTGTCACTTGGAATTAGGGACACTGCCAACACATATGGGACCTTTCTGAATGCTTAAAAAGGCACTACATCTGGAAGAACGAATTGCAAAACTCAGGACTCGCAATTTGGCAAACGGAATTTGATCAGTCTACTCTTGTATCCACTCGGCTGAGTGCCCAACCTGCATGACCACATGTGGCCATACTGCTGGGAATATATCATTTGCAAACAGTCTGGATATGTATGATTTGTACCAAATCATAATTACCTGTATTTCAAACTAACCATCCATCCTACATTTGTTCGCGTTGGAATCCCATTTACAACTCGCAATTGTTTTGTTTTGGCACATGATATTACAGGATCTAAAAACAGGACCAAACATAACATTTTAAAATAATTAGTGTCTCTTGGCTTTCTTAAATGGAATGACAACTAGATAAATACAACTACTGTAATTGTGTCAGAACATTTTGGAGAAAGAGTAAATATTGTGATCAGAGTGCCAAATCAGGCCAAAAATGCTTTTACCCCCATCTAAGGAGCTGAGTGACATAGATAAGTAGTCAGATCAAGGTACGCAGGATTTTTACGATAGTGGCGATGGCTTCTAATTGTATTTCCCCCACCAAAGTCAACATAGAATGAAACAATGTTATTTGTGATGATTAGTTCTAAATGTCACTGAAAAGCAATAGCCTGAGAGAGGAGGGGGGAATAGCTATTTCTAGTTGTTACTTCTGAATTAGCACAGTAAGAATGTTAAGCCATTTTGAACATGTTACCAACACGATATTTATTGAAATTGTGTTTCAAATGACTAATTATTATGTCCAAATCATTATGTTCAAGTGATACAATACAAAATTCTTTGGAGTGAACTTTATCCTGACCCTCCTCTGTGTTCCTTGCCTTATCCTTTCTGCTCTGGTCCATGGTCTAGAATAGATTTCTATTTGTTTCCTCAGCCTGGGGCACAACAGATGGTTTTTAAGATCAAAACACTTGATTAACTTCCTTCTGCCCAAAAAATACGTGAAAATAAAAAATAAGCAGCTCTCAACAGATCTTCTTAAACTGAGGATTAACTGAACCTCTCCGATTGTGTCATCTTTTGCCTGGCAGACTGCAGGGCATGCAAAGAGCTCTGAAAATTGAACAGAAGGGGGGACACAGCACAGTTTTTCAGCCTTTCCCTTTTCATTCTTTCTGACTTCAGCATTCTGGTGAAGGTCCATTATATTCATTGTGCCCAAAATTAAAAGCAAATATAAATGTTCTTTCAAAGTCTAATATCTTGTAGATTTTCTGAGAATTGAATTTTGATATTCAGTGTGCAGTTGCCTTTGTTACTTCTTAACTTATGCACGTAGAAAAAAACAAAAATAGTTCTAACTTATTTTTATGATGGAAGTCAATACAGTGATGTTTTTCTCTGAAGAAAATAGTATCATTTCTGATACAGAGAGACTCAGAGATACTTTATATTGTGAAAGTTTACTTACGGTCCAAGTTGACTATTGTAGGTGTGGTATCACCTTCACCTATAAAAATAAATATGTACATACATAATTTATTCATATATATTTCTGTTATGTACAGACAAAGCTATCTAGAGATATCCAAACATCCAAGAATTGGATACTTTACTAAATTTGACATTTTTTTTTTCAAGATAAAATGTAATACAGGTAGTCCCCAACTTACAACAGGGGTTCCCTTCCAATGACTCTGATCTAAGTTCTGACTTAAGTCAAATACCTCATTGTTTTTTTAGTTTCCATTATTATTGATTTTTATTATCACTATCTTTCTAAATCATAACATTGAATATCTGTGAGTGAATTTCTGAGAATGATAGCATCAGCAAATTATGCACTGCAGCATTGTATGTAGTACATATTACTAATGATAAGACGTACAAAAAAAAAAAAAGACGGTTGTAACTTCACTATGTCTTAAGTTGGGGACTACCTGTAGTATTCTTTTGAGTAATTTTGTATCATTTATACTGGCCAGTGTTACAAGTATGTGACTACTGATACCAGTTAATGTGAAGAGTGGTGTTTTATAACTGTGGAGACTCTGCTGTGTGGTTTGATGACTGTTAGCAGCTTGAATTACACTGCTGGAATCAAAGGGCTGTTACATTCTACCAAGATGCCCAATAATGCACACAATGGACAGTCCAGTGAATGGGGTTAATTCTCCTTGTTTGCTTGGACTCATAGTTCTTTTTTTTTCCTATTATTTGGCCCATTTACATTCTTTTCTGAAAGCCACTTTTATTTTCATGAGGTTGAGGATAATCGAAACTGCACACGCTCCAGAAATCTTTGCAAGAACTCTAGAGGATAGAAATCAGCATCACTACTGGGGAGAAAAAGAGGGATAACCAAATAATAATTACACTTTGTTTTAATAGTTCAAAGTTTGCTTTTTCAGGACAGCAGTTAAAAAAAAAAAAAAAAGGTATGAAAAAAAGAACACTGAAAACTGCAAATGAATTCTAGCTAAAACCTCATAATTACTTTTTTTTCATAAACTCCCTACTAGTGTTTAATTGCTACGAAGAGAAAGGGTTAGAAGATGTTAGAGTTTGGAAGCACTTCTGCAGTAATGAAGGCAGCACAAGACATTTTCTGGAGCTTAATGGCTGACTGTTCAGAATTGATGGCGTAGATTTCAGCCAGGCAGTGTTTAGACCCAGCTGGTAGTTAATCTCTGGAGATGCCCTGAGCTCAAATAAATGAGCCAAAGCAGGTGGGGGGAGATAACAATAATGGCATATGGATTCCTTTATAATAGATGCAAATTTGATTATTATTTATGAGGAATTGAAAATGAATTAATATATGCTAAGGGGTTTCGCTTTATTTTCATTTTTCAAATTTTATGTATTTTACATGAATTAGCTTATCCTGGAGCAGGGTTTTGCCTTAGAGTGGACTGGGTCAGTGTTTAGCATAAATTAGGATTGATGCAGACTATGGTAGTCAAAACATCCAGACTAATGGCTTTTTGACTGAAGTCAATTACTGGAAATTTTTTAAATAAATAACTAGATACTGTTTCTTAAATTGTTGTGATGAGAAAGACTAGACTACTCAATTTATCCTTAATTGCATATGAAGTCTTTTATTTCTAAGCACCAGATTAATAGATCAACAAATTAGTTAATTCATTATAGGATTTTACTAAAATATTTAAAATTTTATCAAAAAATTAGATTTTTATAGTTTGTATATATGTATATATATGTGTGTGTATATATATGTGTGTGTGTATATATATATACACACCAAAAGCTAAACTTATTGCTGTCAAGTGGAATTCCGACTCATAGTGACCCTATAGGCCAGAGTAGAACTGCCCCATAGGGTTTCCAAGTCTGTAAATCTTTACGGAAGCAGACTGCCACATCTTTCTCCTGTGGAGAGTCTGGTGCGCTTGAACTACCAACCTTTTGGTTAGCAGCTGAGCGCTTAACCACTGCACCGCTAGGGCTCTCTCTGTATGAATCTTCCTCTAAGCCAACATTTCACACACTTTAAGCAGAAACACTAGTTAAAATCTCATTTCTGGAGATTCTGGGTTGATGACTAGGTACTGAGTGTTTTAAAAGCACTCTAAGTTGTTCTGTTGCACACTTGGAGTAAAACATTGAGAAACTCGGCTCTCTAGGCCTTTGCCTTCTCACCATCAAATACTATTCTAACCTCTCTTCTTTTACTTTTTCCCGTAGTCCCTACCACATTACTCATCTCTGAAAAATATATATGATACAAATCTTACTTTGTATCAATTCAGCTTAAATTTGAAGAAAGAAAACATGCCAACAATAAAAGTTGTATCTATAGAAGAGTAGGTAAGCACCTGTGAGTTTGTGTGTGTGTATAGTCTCAAAGCCAATGTGGGCTCTTCCTAAAAATTCAAAGATACCTTTCTTTTACTATATTTTTAAAATCTCAAGTTCAAAACTTTATGAACACACGTTTCCCCAGGTAGACATCTATCTTCTCATTCTGCAGTTTATATATTGGTTTATATTTATTAAATGATATATTGCTTTGAAGTTGTTTACATAAATATATCCCATCTACACTGTAAACTATTTGAGGGTAAGAAATATTATTTGTATTGTGGTATCACTAGCATCTCTTACAGGGATTTACCCACAATAGAAGTTTAATAAAAAATTATGAATGAATGAATAAATCAAAAGATGAGATGGAAGTTTTTGAGTGCTTACTATGCAAGAGGTACTGTTCACAATATCCTTATAGGATAGATATTTTTACTGTATAATTTTTAAAATACAGCAAATGAGCCATAAGTATGTTAAGTAATTTGCCCAAGGCACTTAAGAATAATGGAGAGGGAATTGTTTCCCAGTATATCGGAGTTGAAGCTCTTAACCACTATACTCAGTAGTTAATACTTTAGATTTTTCTAACATGTACTGTGTGTGTGTATGTATACACAGACATATATGCATATTATACATTTTAATTTTTGCATATTTAGTAAGCTTAACATATATGTTAAATATTATTTTATAAGCATTTTAGAAGAAAAGAAATCGAAACCTTTACATAGTTTATAATACAAATGTACAGTGTGGAAATGATTTATACAGTCTCTGCAGTTAAATAAATAACAAGAACTCAAATCTTCTAAGTATAAATTTTATTAGCTTTTCACCAGGGAGGAAAAGTAAATACATCCTGGTTATAAATATTAAGAAAATGGCAATGTAAAAATATTTATTGAAATTAATGTTTGGAATGAAATAAAAATGAGTTATCTGCAATAGCATTCAATTAAATACTAGCAACACCCTGAAGTCTTTCTACAACACATTACTTTTAGTTTTAAAATGTTGGTTGAAAATATTTTTAGAAGATCTTAAAATTATTAGAGTTCTGTCTCCCTTAGTTAGGTTTGTAAATCAAATCACAGTGCTTTGAAATTCTAAGGGAGCATTCTACTCTGTAACTATGCCTATATGCTAAGATTGGCCCACTGCAATTTTTACAATAGATGGAATTCTGTCTGGGAAGAAATCCATTTTAGAAGCCATATCACTTTTTCTCCTTTTTCCTAGATTTTATTACAGCTCTCTATAGCAAACATCCTTACTATATTGAACTACCTTCCTCTTTTAAAAGGACATAGTTTTACAAATTAAATAAGAACCTTGTTTTAAAAGTGTTTTTCTTGTGAGACAAGCCAAAATATTTCACGTGAAATAGATTAGTAAATATACTTACAACGAGAAATGGGGCAATAATCCCAAGGAATGAGAGGATTCCCCGTGTAACACCAGGGACCATGGGCATCATCATCAGGATTCCGGCAGTAATTCTTATTCAGCTTACTAGCGTCTGGTTCCCAGAAAATATGCCTATATAAACAACAAGCTTCAAACATCACAGGATGCTTATTTCATCCAAGAGAAACAAAATATTACCAAGAATATAAAACTTCTACTTAATGTGAATTTTGGTTATTTTGTTTGGGAATTTTTTTCTTATAATTTGAAAGCTTGTTTTTGAACTCAGGAATATCAAGCTTTACACATTCAATTCATGTTCCAAATGAAGGTGGGATCTTTTGGTTTAAAAACCAATATGAAAGCAAAATTCCAAACAATTAGAGAAGTTGTATAGCCTCTGTTCTGCTCCTTCTCTTTTATTTCTCTTTATTAGTTCCCTATCTCAATTTTTGGAGAAGATGAAAATTGGAAGTAAAGACATAAAGAATCTACCCAAATTAGAGTATCACAAGCAAAACTATAAATATGGATGCATATAGATAATAATAATTAGAATGTATAAAAAGAATGAGAGATTTTGTAGCTTTGCTTCTAGTTAATAATTACAGTGGCAATGTAACGATATCCCTGTGCCTAGAAATGGAGAAACATTGTCTAAAAGATCGTTGCTGTGTGCCATCAAGTGGATTCCGACTCATAGTGACCCTATACAACAGAGTAGAACTGCCCCGTAGAGTTTCCTAAGCTGTAATCATTACAGAGAGCAGATTGCCTGGTCTTTTCTCCTGGGGAGCAACTGGTGGGTTTGAACTGCAGACCTTTCCTTTAGCAGCAGGCACTTAACCACTGCACCACCATGGCTCCTTAACTCCTGCTTAAAACATTTTAATGGATCTTTGTAATGCTTAGGATAAAATCCAAACTTCTTAGCACAGCTTACAAGGCTCTATATGATCTTTCCACTGGAGAATTCCTTCTCTCTGTACATTGATTGCATCACATTCAGATTCAACCTTATGAAAATTACTTCAGAATTTCAAGCACATCAACCTGTGGACCTTTGTACAAGCTATTCCATCTGCCTGATGTAGTATTCTTCCTCCTATACTTCCCTTGTCCAGCTATTTCTCACTATGTATGTCCAGCTCATGTCCCTTCTAGGAACCTTTCCTGACCAAATAAGTCTGGGTAGTCACTTCTTTGCATTTCTATGGAATGATTTTTATAACATGTTATCAGCCTTTCCTGTTAGCTATCCCACACTAGGGTGTTAGCTCCATGAGAGCAGAACTCTGCCAATCTTTGATGTTTTAGAGCTATAATGACTAATAGACTAGCTACTAGCCATGTATGGCTATTGAGCACTTGTATTGTGGCTAGTTCAAATTGAGATGTACTGTAAGTATAAATATACACCAGATTTTTAACATTTAGTATGAGAAAAGAATGTAAAATATCTCATTAATAATAATATTCTTATTACGTATTGAAATGATAAAACTTTAGATATATTGGGTAAAGTAAAATATTAAAATTAATTTGCTTATTTGTTTTTACTTCTTTTAATGTGGCTACTAGAAAATTTTAAATTACATAGATGACTGCATTTGTGAGTCACACTATATTTCTATATATAGCACAGTATTTATTGGTGTATACATATTTGCTGTTATCACTACATGCTATATATTGAAAGAAAGAAATTTACACACCGGTGTAAGTCTTCCATATTCTTATCCCACATGGAACACGTTAGTCCAGATCTTGTCTTGGATAAACTACCCATGTAATTCTTGCCATTCCCACGATAACAATCTAAACATAAAATATATGGAAAAAGCCTAATGAATATTAGGGAGATTAGGGAAAAAAAAAATTTTTACAGCCATATGAATTCATGAAAAATCAACATGAAAACAAAGCACTATGAAATCTGTACAAATCAAAAAGACTTACATATCTCAGATTAAAATACCTGTATTTTCAGTCAAATTTCTTCATTAAAATGAGTGCTTATGCAAATTCAAATAATACATACAGTAAAAAAAAGTCAAAGAAGAAATTAAATGAGTATGACCCTTTACAACACTAAAGAAATGAGAATTTTTAGAATGACATACATATCGTACATCTTTTTCTTCTAAAAAGAATTGAGATTTATAGAAAAGTCACAAGAATAATATAAGGAGCACTCATATAGCCTTCACATTCTTCGTGTTTTGATTTTTGATCTTTCATGTCATTGACATTTTGAATCATCTAGGCCAGCTGTTTAACAAATGTTCTTTAATTTGGATTTGTCTGATTATTTTCTTATGAATAAAATGAAGTTAAAGATATTTGGCAGGAATATGACATAGGTGATTTTTTTTTCCTTTTCAGAACATTATGTCAAGTGACATATGATATCACATCCCATTATTATTTAAGTCATGTAAAAGGAAATTTTCACTTTATATTGAACCACCAACAACAAAAATCTCCTGGGGCCTTTGAGAGTGAGTAAATATCCAATTCCCCAACAAACTTTCACAAAATTCTGTTTAAGCATACTTCTATAAATTTTGTGTGAATCAGTTTTTACTATGCTGGCTGTTAAGTGGTTATTTTTCTAACATGTACTTATATTTCTTAATAGGTAAACTTTTGTAAATAGGACTTTTTCTTTCTCTCCTACTCCTTTCCATTTAGTTATTACTACTTCGTGCCCTGGTGCACAATGTTTATGTACTTGGCTAATAACCAAAAGGGCGAAGGTTCAAACCTACCAACCGCTTCATGGGAGAAAAGACCTGGTGATCCCCTAAAGATTACAGCCTCAAAACCCTATGGGGCAGTTCTGGGTCATAATGGAATCGACCCAATGATACACAACAACAATGACTAGTAGTAGTAGTATACTAGTACTAATAGAAGTATCAATATAACTATGGACTTATGTAATCTCTTTTTATTCAATGTGATGTATAATTTATTTCTGTCAGCATTAATTTTGTTTGCTGCCCAAATTTTCAAAATTTACCCAGTGTGAGCTACCTCAAGCTGGCTCCTGTGTCTTTTAACATGTCTTCTGAGATTTTCTTTTTCTTTTAATGGAGCAACTTATATTCTATTAAACCTTAGTAGAAATGCCACTATTTTTAATCAAAAGAAATCTAGTTTTTAAAAAAATGTAAGTTGGAATTCTACATTTAAAAGGAAACATTTCATATTTTGAAATAATACTGAAGATTTAAAGATAACTTTTTCTATTAAACATATCTAATCTTTTTGTAAATTAAAACTGCAGATTTGACTTAAAAATGTTATCCGTTGCTGCTATTGTTAGGTGCCCTCAAGTCGGTTCTGACTCATAGCAACCCTGTGACAACAGAAGGAAACACTGCCCGGTCGTGCACCATCCTCACAGTCTTTGCTATGCTTATCTAAAAATGTTAGCTGCCAGTGTACATCCACATTAAGAATATTCTATGATGGGGTTGTTAACCAATGTCACAAAACAATATGTGTACTACTATTTCATGAGAAACTGTTTGTTCTGTAAGCCTTCACCTGAAGTACAATAAAAAAAAAAAAAGAATATTCTATGATAAAAAAAATTGGTAAACCATGGCATGCTGCTATTGGATTTAAAATATATCTTGTGATTATCATAAATAGTAGTATAAACCAAAAAACCAAACGTTTTGCCTTCGAGTCGACTGACTCATAGTGATCCCATAGGACACAGTAGAACTGCCCCATAGAGTTTCCAAGCAGCGGCTAGTGGATTCGAACTGCTGACATTTTGGTCAGCAGCTGAGCTCTTAACCACTGCACCACCAGGGCAAATCTCAATAAAATTGATTAAACGTGTAATTTAATCATTTAGGCAGGAATCAGTAAACATAGTGAAAAAGAAAAGTAATAATTGTATTCAATAGTCATGTGCATATAGCCTTGGATCACATTTCCCATTTCGGCTTAAAAAATAAATATTTAAATAGGATAAAATTTGATACAGATAATATAAGTCATTACAGTATACAATAAAATTGTTTTAAACACCAATTTATAAATACAAATTTATGTTTATATAAATATTCCATATATGTATTGACATATCCCCTTCTTTATTACTCAAAAACTAATATACTGAAGATACACTTTTGTGCCTTTTTTTTTTTAAATTAACAATATACCCCAAATCACTCCATATTAGTTTATGGAGAGCTTCATTATTCTTTTTTGCAAATTCATAGTAATCCATTGTATAGCTTTACCAGAGTACTTTCGGGTTATTTTTCTATTACTGATAATGCTGCAATGAAAAACTTTGTGCAAAATTTTTGCAAATTGTTGGAGGTATATCTGTGTATATTCAGTTAGTAACATTGTTGAACCAAAGGGTGAGTGCATATGTAATTTTACTAATTATTGTCAAAGTCTGTTCCATAAGGGTTTTACCATTTTGCTCTCCTAAAAACAACGTATGAGAGTACCTTTTCCTCCACAGCTTTCCCAAGAGATTGTGTTGTCAAATTTTTGAAGTTTTGCAAATGTATATAAGAAATGGTATATCAATGTACTTATATTTCACTTTTCTCTTATTATGAATGAATATATCTTAATGTGCTTAAGGGTAACTTTGCCTAAATATTTTTAATAGTCTTTCTGTTCACATTTTTTGTACATTATTTAATTTTTTATAATTTATTCTTGAATTTTAGAGTTTTTTAATATTAAGGATATTTGCTTATCTGTGGTATATATTTTAATGTGTTTCAGAACTTTTTCCAAATTTGTCATTTGTCTTTAGACTTTAGTTATGGTGAGCTTTTTGCTGTTGTTTGATTTTTTTTTTTTTTTTAATATTGCCATGGTAGCTTTTTGATATTGTTTGTCTTTTTATTTTCACTTATTGCCTATAGATTTTGAGTCTTAATTAGAAAGCCTTTCCCCACACCTAATTTATAAAAAAATTCTTCTAGGTTTACTTCTATTATCTGTATCATTTCTTTTTTTCACTCAGATTTCTTATCCATTTGGAGTTTATTTCTGGGTATAGTGTAGGGTATGTATTTATTTTTATCTTTTTTTCAAATGGTTATTCTTTTGATCTAGTATCATATTTTAAAAGCCCATATTTCACCTAGTGGTATAAATTGCTGCTTTTGTAATATAATAAATATTAGTATGTCCTTACGTCTATCTCTGGGCTTCCAATTGTCAATTTATTCATGTGCGAGAACTATAATCTTTTAATTTTAAACTCCTCATAAAATATATTTATATGTAATAGAGTTAGTTCCCACAATAGGTCTTCTTGTTCAAGGTTTTCCTTGTTATAATTGCATGTTTATTTTTCCAGGTCTTTAGAATCATACACTTTAATGTCAGAAAAAAAAATTGCTGATCCTTTTATTAATGTAGCATTAAATTTATAAATTAGCTTAGGCAGAATTAATATTTTGTCATGTTATGTTATGATAAGAACAAGGGATATTTTTCAACATGGTTCTTTTTCCACCTGTTTCTTTACACTAAAGAAAGTTTCTTTACCTGGGTCAATTGCGATAACTTGAGTTTTTCTAGAATATTATCCATTTCATCTAAGTTTTAGATTTTTGTTATGTGAGGTTGTATGAAGTAGTCTCCTATATTTTATAATTTCCCTGTTTCAATATTATTCCACCCTTGATAAATTTTATTTTCTATATTTCTGGTTTTCTTTCTTGAGTCAGTTCGCTGGTAGTTTATCTATTTTGTTAGTTTTTTCAAAGAACATCATTCTGGTTTTTCCATTAGTTCTATTAGTTGTTTCTCTACCTCATTAATACCTGCTTTTATCTTGATTATTTTGTTTCTTGTGCTTTCTTTTGGCTTATTTCCTTCCCCAGTTTTTTGAGTCCAAAATTTAATTTACTTTTTTTCATTATTTTATGATACAGACATAAATATTTAACACTATGGACTTTTTTCTGATTACCACCTTAAATGTATCTTATAATCTAATATGTAGTGTTTTATCAAATTTTTAAGAAATTCTGCAATTTCAATTTTAGCTTTTCTGTAATAGAGAGTTATTTAATATCCAATTGGAAGAACATTTGTATATATGCTAATTCAGATACTGCAAGATTTGAGAAAAAAATGTCTAACTCATCAAACTATATATGGAATATATATGTACATATATATATTATATGTATGTACATATATACATATATAGTGCATACCATTAGCTGGGCAGTATCATACAATGGCATGTACTGCCATTTGAAATTTCACAGATTTATATCAAATTGGGTAACTGTATTTCTTAAACAGAAGGTCTGTGCCTTCTTTGTTTTTGAATTCTCCCATAGAGCCTAACATGTATCAGATATATTGCTGTATCAGATATATTGCTAAAAGAATAATATAACGTATTATTAAAGAATGAGTAAAAGGAAGAAAGCATGGAATAATGAAGAGGTCTTTATAAGGAGAGTCAGATTCTAATATCAGCTGTGCCAATTTGAGAATTTAGGCAAGTTACTTAAATTTCATAAACCTAATTTCATTATCTGTTTACGAGTAGATTTATTAGATAAGCAACAAGACCTGTTTAACCTCCAACATCCAAAATTCTCGTATTCTCGTACATGATCATACGCACCAGAAGCTTATAAAACAATTGTTCTTATTCCCTCTACCACTCTCAAATTATCAGTACTTGTTCAAGTGAACAAGACAGGGAAACAGAAGACCCAGATGTTACCAATCTTCTTTTAATCATTGGTTTCAACTTTATTTCCAGCTGACCTTTAAAATCTGCTAAAGAAAAGTGAAATTGACTGATAAGGGACTCATCTCCTCCCTCTAAAACTCTATTTCACAGTTGTTCATGAATAATTAAAGGACAACAGAAGGAAAAGTATGGATGGAGGAATAAACCTATGAAACTGAGCATTAAGTTTGGCTTGGATGTTTTGGGGATGATTTAGGACTGACCGTGCCATTACAAATAAGTTCGTGTGAAATAGAATATGATCATTTAAAACCATACATCATTATACATTAACAAAATGTCCATAGTTTACATTATTAATGTTTAACAGATGAATTTTTTTTAGATCCACTTTAATCTGGCTTTTCTCCACCACTGCACTCTGAAATAGTTATATTCAGTGGCCTCCATGTTTCCAAATCACGATGGTAATTTATTCCAAACCCCACTGCTACTCATCTTCTCCACTGCCAACCCCCAGGTTCAAATCCCTCTCATCTCTTGCTTGAATTATTCAATCAACCACTCAACTGGTTTCCCTATTTCAGCCTTTGCAGGAAGTTCAGGCTATATTCCATAGTGAAGTCAGAGTGATCAATTTAAAATTTAAGTCAAATCACATAACTTCTCTTCCCAGAACCTTACAACAAAGTCACTTTTTCTGAATGAAAGAGCAAACTTTTACAATTCCTGCAAGGCCTATGCAACTGGAGCCACAATGCCCCTCTTATCTCATCTCACACTACTCTCCACTTTGCTCATTTTGTACCAGGCCACATGCAGTCCTTGTTTCTTTTAACTTTTCAAACACTGTCTCATATCATGTCATTTGTGTTTGCAGTTTCTTCTACCTAGATTGTGCTTTACCTGTACATGACATGGCTTATTCTACTTACACATTTCCTTTGGGACCGCCTTAAGAAGGTTACCTTAATGAGTAAGATCTTGAAAGACATTAAAATATAAAAGAGTCCCTACAACTCTGGGGCATTTTTCTCTGTAACACTTATCACAAACTAACATACTATCCTCACCCCTTTTTTCTTTTTCGTTTTCTTTTCTTTCTGTCTGCTAGAAATTAATTCCATGGAAACAGAGAGTTTAGTTTTGTTTACTGCTGTAACCCTAGTGCCTAGAACTGTGCCTGGCACTAGTATACACTCAAAGAAATAAGTTTGAATGAATAAATAAATATATAAAAGAAATCCAACTTTATATCTGATGATTTTGTTTGCTAGCCAACAAAACCAGTTCATCAAAAAGTAGATCTTCTGCTATAAAATGTGTCCTCCCTTTAGGCATTTCCCCTGAATTTAATCATGCCACATTGCAAAATGCCAGCTGTTACCTTGTCCACTTGACACGTCACATTTTGGAATTTGGGAGCAGTAGCCAACTCGGATGTTTGGATCAGTGGTAAAACACCAGGGTGACTCAGCTCCATCTGGATTTCGGCAATAGTTTTCTCTTAGGTCCCTGTTGAGAATAAACATGTTTATGTAAATTGCCTGAGTTTTTATATTAGTGAAGTCAGCTCTGTTACGTTTCTAGAATCCCAGAAGATATGCATGTCTATAAATAGAGTTTTAAGTCTTTGGACTTAAGATAGTTATAACAGTTTAAAATTCAATATACACAACAGACACTGCCCAAATTACTGAACTAAATGCTGTTAGATGTCAGTATCCTTTTCCTTCCATAGGCCTGGAGTTCATGCAAAAATAACTGTTTCATGAGAGAGAGAAATGGTGCCATTATATTCTTATTACTTCTTCTCATGACTTAGATTCTCAATCTTTACAACTTTAAAAAAATTGACCTGTCATTTATTCGTTTTTGTGGCATGACCCACATATAATGTAGAAACAACATATATCTCTCTTTGAAGGCGAAAGATTATTCTTAGTAGTCATTAACTACTCTCATTTAAAATAAAGTTCAACCTATTCAAACATTTGACACAAAAGAGGATAGCTATTTCTTCCTTGAATTCTGTATTTCTTTGATTCATTTAACTTTCTACATAGATTTATTTTAATTACAAAGTAGTTTTTTCTTGATTCAGAGTAATTATCTGAAAACTTTATAAATATTTCTGTAAAATTAAAGCCTAAGCATAGTCAGAACATCTAGCTATAGGACTTTTTGGTCAATATAACCCATGTGCGTCCTTTATCTTTTCAGTGCATTAATTAGAAATCTAGAGTTTCCAATAAGGGGGAAAAAAAACTAACTGTGGTAATATCCCTTAAATGTGAAAGCTTTTAAAGGTTTTCTACGTTAATATAAGTTGTAATTAAATAAAATGTGGACTTTGTTATTTGAAAATTGCTCTCTATTTCTAAGTAAGCATGTGCATTTTTTCTATAGATCCCTGGCTAATTATTTAACTAGATTACTACTCCATACACTGGCAACTACGGTGTATCACTGAAGTCCAGTTAGATGCACTATGATTGTATTAATGCCCAATAGGAACATCAGAAACTGAGAAACATTTAAGGCAAGAAGCTTGAGTATGGTTAGGAAATCAACAGGTAATATTCTTTCCGGTCAAAATAGTTTCAGATTGCCAGCCACATCAACCACACATATAATTTCATTTTTTTGACTGCCCTAGGTTTTGATACAAACTGTGATATTTAAGGATTTAAGAATTTTGATTGTCAGTATTTAAGGCCATTGAATCACAAGTGTTCATAGTTAAAGCCCCTATTCAAATCTTTAGACTTCTTATAAAATTATTAGTTGGAAAACATGAGAAAAAAACCTTTTATTTCTCTTATACCAAGTTATACTTGTGATTTGCAAAAATTATTAAGTATAAAATATGTGTATTAAATTTTACTTAAAATTTACACAAGTTTGCAATTTTAAATGAATAATTGTAGAGTAAAATTATTTCGGGTTGTTAATTTAAGTCAACGTAATTGAATGGAGGTATAAGATACACGCTTTCCAATGTATCAGTTTCAGCTAACTTATAAAATCTAAATCCTGAGGCACCTCATTAATCAAGATTAAATGAGAATGAAAGGCTAGGTTTGCCAAAATATTTTTCCAAAGGTCTTTCTCTTCACTTGAAGTAGGAATTGTTTATAATTACTGAAGGGGATGGACAATTATACGATTTATGTAGTTTCATCACAGCCATATTGTTCAGTTATAGAGTTTTAAAAATTGTTATTTGGAGTCTCAGTATTGGTGTAAATAGTGTTTAATGCAACATAGGCCCCTGACTGATATTGCTAGACCACAAATGGTAAATAAATGCACTCATATTCTGAGCAAAATTCTGTTTCATGTTTTATCAGTTCTCTGAAACAGCTCACTTTTTGTTTTTTGATATTTCAAATGTTTCATTATTTTGACCAAAGAACTAAATTAGGAAAAGATGGCTTAAGGTTATGATAACAATCAATGGCTACATTTTTTATACTTAAGTTATAATTATAAAATGTGTGAATTAAATTTTGATAATCATTCTCTTTTTCTTACAAAAGAAGTTCTTTGGGCACTTTCGCATGCACAATGTCTTACTTCAGTATTACCAGTCATTACAAGTTAACAAAAAGTGTGAATGACATTTTATCACTATCTCCTTTTGTCCTCATTAACTAGTTTCTTCTCATTTTCTTTGCTTTGTCAACTTTGATATTTATTTCTGAAGTGGGGCTTCTGGGTCAGGTATAGAGAGTGAATTGCTGAGAAGGAAATGAGGGATGTAAGCCCAGAAGGACAACTGTAAATTTTGTAATTATGAAATAATGAAAAAATATCACAACATATGATATTTACCATCTAAGCAAATAATCACTAATTAGCTTCAAAACAAAACAAAAAAACATGAAATATCTGTCCTCTACTGTGGATGGGCCAACTATTGCTCATAGTTTTTCATCCTGAAATGTTAAGCTCTCTTATTAAAAGTCAATTACATCAAAGCCAATATATGTTATTTATAGTTGTTATTTCAGCAAAGTCACTATGAATAGCATATGTGTTACAAATTTCAAAAGCAATCACTTTATGTTCCTCATAAGAAGGTGGACAATTTAAAAACATATGGCATTGTAGCTATGTCTGTTCAACAAAAGTCAAGTGGTGAAAAAAGAGTAGTTACAGAAAATGCACATAATAACTTTATCATTGCAACTCAAGGGCATCAAGGGCAGTTTCTTTGGCTTTATTCTTCTTGATTCTTCTACACATTTTAAAGCAAATTTAGAAACAATGAAAAACATTCATTTAAATTAAAAAAGTTTATGTGTTACAGTTCTTCAAGGCTGAAAAATTATTAATCTAAAATACCAACCGAAATCAAAGCCCTCTTTTTGTAAGGAAAAAAATTCAAATCTCCCCCAAAATTAATATAAAAATCTGAAAACACACTTTTTTGAAACATGTATGGTTTTCATTATCATTAAATGCCTATTAAATACCCCTGCAGGAGCAAAGCTGTTATCAGGAACAACCTAGGGATGTGTTTCCAGAACATGGTACATCAACCACCTGCATCAAAATCACCTAGAGTGCTTGTGAGGACCAAATCCCAGGGTGGAGCATGGGAATCTGTCTTTTAAATCCTGATTATCATAGGCAGTCTAAAGTTTGAGGACCACTAACATAGAAATTAATAGTAACCACTCTGTCTCATTTCTCCCAGGGCCTACTGAAGTTTTTAACATCTAATTTACTTACTTGCACTTGAAATTTTCAGGAGTTATGTCATGCTGGTGAGGATACTGGGAATCCCAGCGCTGACATGGAATTCCATTCCAAATTGTATTGGTCGAGCCCCGATAACCTTCTCCTTGACCTTGAATGCACTCAGTTGTTTCCATAGGAAGATCAGTATCATTCATAGTACTGTGAGCTATTGGTAAAAAGAAATATAAAAAAATTAAATCTGTTGACATATACATCATCTACCTCTTAGAGTTCATTTGTATTTTTATAACTAGGGTTTTTCTGTCACTTGTAAGTTTTCGTAAAGCTTGAGTGTAAATGACTGTACAATTACCCCTAAAATAAGGTTGCTCAAATACATAGAAAATTGGTAATAGTGTTAACCATGAATTTCCTGTACCATGATTAATATATTCTAAGCCAATATGTTACATTTATCTTTTTAATCATCTTATTGGCATTTAAGGAGCCCTAGTGGCACAATGGTTAAGCATTCGGCTGCTAACTCAAAGATTGTCAGTTCGAGCCCACCAGCTGGTCTGCAGGAGAAAGATGTGGCAGTCTGCTTCTGTAAAGATTTACAACCTTAGAAACCCTATGGGGCAGTTCTACTCTGTCCTATAGAGTCTCTGTGAGTTGGAACTGACTTGACGGCAATGGGTTTGGTTTGGTTTTAACATTTAAAAAATCAGTTATTTTTAGGAAAATTTATTTCTTGCTTTTTTTCCTATTCCAACTGCACTGTTTATCATACTTCATGAGGATAATGAAACCCTCAATAACTAAGTCAAAAAAGTACAAAATTCAATTTTACTATAACTTGGACTCTGCTTTTAACTTTAATATTTGCTTAATCAAATTATAACTCAGAAAATTCTTGAACAGCTAAAATTTATATATCTTCTCAAAGCATACATGAAAATGTTTTGGTTCAATAGAGTAATGCCAATGTAAACTCCCCAACTACCTCTATAATTGAAATGGTATTTCAAGAAGTCTCTGGATAAAATTCAAGTTAACACGCTCTATGACAGTATAAGATTTGAATGGATTGCTTTAACTCATTCCATTCTGGAATTAAGTGTAACACTTCTCCAAAGGAGAGTCAGAATCTGACCTGCCTTCAGAGGTTAGTGTAAATTAAAAAACCAAAAGAGGAAACAAACAACGGTTCTTAAATTTCATTTAAATTTATTTCTCTCTTACAAATAGTAAATACTTTTTGTGGCTAAATGCTTTGCTTCATTGAGTTCCATGCAAACTAGGTACATCCTAAGTTTGGAGATGCCCTATGAAGCTTTATGAAAAGGGAGAAGAGTTACATGAATAACCACCGCAGCCACTGGAATAGTTGTATATATAGGTATATACAAATTGCCTTTACATAACTTTGCTTCAGTTCATTTAAAAATGTTTTTCAATTTCTTATGTATCTACTTTAGGGAATAGAAATGTGACTTGGAAATATCCCAGTTAAAAAGAAATTCAAATGGAGATGATAAATGTCCAGATTGACCCATAAAGAAGTAATTGAGAGTTGATAGCCTGGAGAAGTAATTCCCACAATATATTGATTCAGGAAGACAAAAATTATTGACCTGGGAGAAATGGCTTATAAAAAAAGTTGATGCTGGTTACCAAAATCCTTTATGATTTTAAGGATATTGCCTGAAGGTCTTTGAGGAAATACAAAATAAGATGATTAAATATAAATTCTGAAGAATTGTATTTCATCAAGACAAATGCCACTAAACTACTATATTTCTGATGATTTGAGTTAACTATTCATTTTTTTGGACAGGCAGCATGTGTGGAGAAGTTTTTAAAAGGTAATAACCCTAAAACAAGTGAAAAAAGATCAAGCTTATATTGATATATTACACATTTACAGTAAACTAATAAAAACAATGTTCCACAGAGTAAATATAACTTTTTATTAGGTCTCATGAAGATATAAATAATCTAATTATTATGTTTTGTCTTTACTGTAATGAGCATCTATAACTTTAAAATACATAATTTCAAACACCTTGACAGTTTTACTTATTCTTGTGTTTTAATTTGCTAAAAATAACTCTCTCGTGATTTTAACCACAAACTAGCACTACTGAGCTAATATTTTTTCTTTAACTAAAAATTGCCCTCTGAAATCAGTACATCTGTATTTATTCATTTGGCATTCAGCTGCTAGAAGTGACCCCATAAACATATTACAGAAAAACTAATTAATTCTGATGGCAACGTAGAATAAATAATACAGGCAAATAAAGAGATATTAGTGCAGCAAGTTCACCAAATAGTTTTTATCACTAAATAAGAGTTATTATGAGACCTTCATGAAGCTGTATAATAAATATTATCTGATGAGGACAATGATGAATGATTTTCTCACAGACCATTTAACTGTGATATAAATGTTTGATCTTTGCTGCTCACATATTTGCTATCCAAACAAAATAAATTATTCCCGAACTGTGAAAAAAAATAAATAAACCCCTTCTGCTATTCTACTGCATAAATATCAAAACCTAGTGCAAAAACAAAACACATGTTTCTCACCGATTGATCTGGAAAGGACTGTTAGATGTTGGGAAAGCAGTTCCTTTGGACTTAATACTTTAACATGGGATCTGAATAAGGAAATGTTTTGAAGGGTCTCCAGTGGCCAAGCAAAGTGTTAGGGAAGCCCAAAAATATCTCCAAATATCAGCTAAAGCTGATCAGGTTTAGCCAAAGCAGCATGTCTTTTTTAAAATACTGCATCCCCACGTACACAAATATTTTCACAAATATGTCTCACAAGCTCACATTGAAAATACCAGGAGCTCTTCTGAGAGTTCCTCAAAAATAACACATTTTGCTAGAGGTGTCAGTGGTGGCCAGCCTTTGGAAGCAGATGCAAAGATATTTATATGATCCTCACAGTGGCCTATGAGTGAAGGAATCTTTTCCTTTGATGATTGACATGAAGTTTTCTGTTTGGAAATGTTTTAAGGAAAGTAATATTTGCTATTGGAATCTTTCACTGTCCTGTGAGAATATAATCAAAAACAATGGATGGCTCTTAGAACATTAATTTTTCTTTGCTGGTGTGGATGTGACGTGGTCTGATTTCTACAATATTTGCTAGGGAGTTAAAAGCTTTGGCTAACTTTTCTGAGAGAAAGGGCATTAACTGTTAGCTAATTTCTGGGACAAACATCCTGTCCCTAGACGGAGAGAGACCAGTAGAACAAGATCACATATCTAATCCATTTTCTCTGAAGGGCTAGCCAAAGCCTTGCAGAGATCCCACACAACCCTGATGAGAGTTCCTAAATGCCATCTGAGAACATGAGCGCACATGTATATTAGAGTGTTCCACATCCGGTGTTCTGTAAGCTTTGCATAGACGATAAGCAAAAGCCAGATTTTCCAGTGATGACAAGCTATTGCTGTTCTTTAACCCATAGCTAAGAACAAGTTGCTTGATAGGTCAATGGACAAATACCTGATTATCCCTTAGAGTAGTTCAACCCAACCCATTTCTTATTTCCAGCTACTGAAGAGCAGCTGAAACCTAGGATTTGCTTTATGATGGTCCCCAGAGATTGAGAACAGTGGTAAAGCTGCTCTCCCATCAACAGTACTTGTGCTTTTGGGGCCACAAAGGGCAGGATGGGGATCATTGTAAATTTAAAGAGCTTCGTGTTTTAAAATTGACGTGGGAAAATAGTAAAGACCTCCAAAGTACAAACCTCAAATTGCTTGCACGTTTGTTTTCCATGTGAAGCCAGAAATCATATCTGAAACTTTCCCCTGGATTTTGTCCAAGCCTTTTCTGGTATAAAATGCTCGGGAGACAAGACTTTCATAAAAAGTCCTCAATTCTATAGTCTTATTCCTTAGAAGATGACTTGGAAAAGACCTCTAAGTACAAGATTTTTCTCTTGAGAAAGGGTATGGATAGCATTGTTTTTTCCAGACTCAGAATACAGTAAGATTTTATGTCTACAAATCTGTGTTCTGGCCTTGGATATTTTAATAAAATTCAGAGAGACAATCAGCATTCTTTATGAGTATAACACACTTAATTTTAAAAGATTAGATATTCTCTGAAAATTATGCCAATGTTCATTGGCTACTAAGAGGACAGTTACTTTATTATTGATGGCAACATACATTTCATAGTAACCTTAGCTTTCAATGATCTGCCTAGGTCACACTTCTAAAATGGCTCTGGATACTTAAATATCTAGCAGTTTTAAAAAAAAAAAAAAAAAAGGAAACGGAAGAGTAAGAAAAAATAAGCTAAACCATGACAAAATTTGTCTATTTTGTTGCTAAATAAAAAGCCATCAGGACAACCAGCAACAAATGAACGTAACTTGCCCCCGCCCCCCCCGCCAAAAAGAAACCCCGTTGTCATCGAGTCAGTTCTGACTCATAGCAACTCTATAACTTGCCCAGGGTAGCACAAAACTTGAGAACTGCACCTGAGTTGAGGTAACGAGAAGACAGTATAAAACAAATCTGCCTGGATAGTATGTTTGAGAAAAGCAGGGTTTTCAAATGAAAAGCAAGTAGCATGAAGAAATACCAGGAGTCAGGAAGAAAATTAAAAACCACCACTTACTAGAAGGGTAACTTTTATTCATTCAACAAATACTTATTGAACTCCGACTCTGTACAAGGCAATGTGCTAATCACTAACCTGTTGCCATGGAGTTGATTCCAACTCATAGGGACCCAATAGCGACCACTAGGGGATACAAAAACATACATGGTCCTTGTTCTCTTGGAGCTTACAAAATTTGGTAGAGAGAATTATTAACCAAATAAAATGTAAAAATCAGCCTCTGAGAAGTATGTGGAAAGAGGGGTATATGGTGCTACAAAATATGTAATAAGGGATTTGACCAAGTCAAGGATGTCAAATGAAGACTTTCCTAAGGAAATGATAATTAAATTGGAATTTCAACAATGAGTAGCTGTTAACTAGGTGAGGAAGAAAGAGAAAAATTTTCAAGGCAGAGGGAATGGTGGAGCAAAAGGACCTGCAGTGAGAGAGAACATGGAAAATATAAGGTATAGGAAGAAAGCCATTGTGATTGGAACAGAAAGCACAGAGAGAAATGTGGTGGTACATGAGGTTGGAGATACGAGTAGAGGAATAAGGCAGTTTATTTTGTCTTGTCATAAAATCGA